CTTCGTCAGACTGAGACCTTTGGGATGAGTTGGAGATGCAGCATCACCGGCTGCCGTGGTGCTGGTGGACCATGGCATCAGTAAGGTTTCGTGGCAATTCTGCAAGCTGGAAGATCTCAGTCCTTAGTAGCCTCAGGGACCCCAAAGAGGCCATGGGAGCAGGGGCACCCATTAGTAGTAAAAAGCATTACTGAGTCTCTGAAATAGTGCGGGAAACATGTGGCATTTTGAGGGGGGCTTTTATTTGACTGTTCTTCGCTTATGCAGCATGAGTGGGCCTGGTAAGCCATGTGGGTGGCACATCTGTAATTAAGGTCTCAGAGGCAGCATTGTGGTTAAGAGCTCAGACTCTGGAACCAGACTGCTCCATTCACACTGACTCTGCCACCAACTGAGACCCTGTGTAGTCGCTGAACACCTTGCTGCTTCCGTTTCCTTGCCTGTAAATAAATGGACAATAACAGTACCTGCCCTGTACCTGGTAGGGTTGTTAGGACGACCAAATGAGGCAGTACTTGTAAAGCAATTAAAATAAAGTGATAGGTATTATACAATTTGTTATATTTTCTTTCTTGATATAAGAATACTAAAATTTTTGAAAAGGAATCATGGTTAACAATTAGCACTTACTAGCCTGTATCTGAGGTACTGTTATATATATTAACAAATTTAATCTCCCTGACTATGCTCTGCATTAATTACTTTCATATTTCCCATTTTACAGTGAGGAAGCTGGGTTTAGAGCAGTTAAGTGGCTTGCCCAAATTCACACACCTAATCTGTGCTGGTGCCTAGATTCTCTGAACTCTCCATTCTGAGAGAGTCTCAGGCAGAAGCCATACAACAGCTTGCTGGGGGCTGGAAGGTGGGGGCTGGAAGGTAGGGGCTGGCACAAGAGGAGCCTGAAGCGTTTGATTGGGTGAACCTCCGGGGCTTGGTTGTAGGTGACAGAACCTGACTTGCTAAACGAAGCAGAAAAGGAGTTTATCCATCCGTACTATTTAGCTCGCAGGATCCACAGGAGGCCCCAGAATAGACTTGAGCAGAAATCAAGAAGGCAAGTTCCCTACCCCAGTTTGGGAGGCCACAGTTCGCTCCTAGGAGCTGCACTGAACCTACTGCTACTGTGGCCCCCCAGGCCTGGCCACTGGGAACAAGGCCCAGTGGCCCCGCCCAGACCTCACTGCTTGCAGATTCAAAGCCCTGGCAGGAGCATCTGACTGCCCGGGCCTAGTTCATGTGACACACTCCTCTTGCTTCCCTTCTTGGGGGTGTCCACTCCCCCCGCAAAAAATCAGAAGAGTTTTGAAGCAATAGGCCACCAAAATGACAAGTGTCCTCTCCTTTGGGGGCCTCAACTAGATGCTCCCAAGTTCCCTCCCAGCCCCAGGATTCTCTGAGCCTGCTCTTTCTGAGGGCGGGGGCTGCCCTCCCTGCTGCAGCACCTGGAATGAAGCTCTGTACCAATTAGGCTTTCAGTCAATGTTTTCCACAGAGTATAATGAGTACGTTAGCCTTTGGCACAAAAGGAAATAAGGATGCACACTTATTTATAGCATCTAGCTTTTTGATTCTGAACAGACTGTTTCAGCTGCTGAGCTCCTTTTGTTCATCAGGAAAACAGTTGATATTTATCATTCCTCTTAGCAAAAGGAGGAAGAAAAAGCATTTAAACATTTAAATGTTTCTGTGTATATATTTAAGTACTTAGTGGTTATATTGCAATGAAGTAGTCGAGTAGGGCTGTTAGAACAAACCTCGTTTTTGATCCCCTCTTCTCTCCACATAGCGGCTCCTTTGCCTAATGTCAGCGACTGTGATGATCAGTCTCCTTTCCTCCTCCTCCATCATCCCTCACCCCGTCCTCGAAGTCGGTTTCTAAGTACTGTTGGCCTTTCATTGCTTGGTGTCCTCTCTGTGATACCTGTCCCCCACTTGCTCCCAGCCCATGCCCCCACACCTGGGTTAGGTCTCCCCCGTGCCTGTCGTGCCCACTTGATCTTCTCAGCAAGACGCTTCCGTTTCCCCCTCTGTGCTCCTTAAGGCCAGTGACAGCTGCTTGTTTATCAGCACAGCAGCGCAGTTAGGAGCGCCCTGGGTCGGGTCCAGAGCCCAGCTCTGCCACTTAGTGTCTGCACCATGAGGGTGTGTCCAGATGTAATCAAGAGAACCAAGATACAGTGGCTTGACCAAATAAGAGTTTATTTTGTCCCTCACCACAAAACATCTGGCGAGAGGCAGCCGTCCCAGGCCGTGCAGCAGCTGCGGCACCTCATGGCATCGGGGACAAGCACCTTCTCTTTCTGCTCAGTCATCCTAGTGTGTGGCGTGTGTCCTCATGCGAGTCACCTCCAGCTTTGAAGGGGCAGAGCTGCGGGCGAAATGCGTGCTGGCGGAGATGCCCTCCTCTTAAAGGGTGGGGACCTCACCCGGCAGCTTCTGTGACATCTCACTCCCCATAATGAGTCACATGTCCATGTGTGTGTTTAGCTGAGCGTGTTGCCAGTGTTCACCTTGCTTGAGATCTTCGGGTGCCCATCCTATACCATCACTGAGCATATAGTAGGTGCTTAGTAGCTGCTTATTACTTTGCTTTTTAATATAATATATTTTTGTTAGGGTAGGTTTTCACGGTAAGCCAATTAGCATATTTACTGTGACTTTCTCTGTAAATATTATTTAAAATTCTGGGATTCTTTTCTCTCCTCTCCCACCACCTCACTGTACCTTTTTCGTGACCTCCAGTTTGTCACCTGCTCTGTGCTCCTCGTCTGTCAGCTCCCTGCTCCCCTCCTCCCCCATCCATTAACCCTGAGAATCCATCCGCCCTTCTCCTCTGCTCCGGGGCTGGCCACGGAGCGTCACAAGGGAAAAATGTCAGCACAGTGCTGTTGGCGCCTCCGCACGTCCGGGAGGCTTCTGTCCCCCTCGGGATGAGGTTTTTGTTGTTTAAACCTTTTCTGTTCTTTTTTAAAAGTCTTAGTGCTATTCCTTTTCTCCTTTCCCCCCTCCACCTCTCTATTGTTTTCTTTTCCTCCCAGCAACCACCTCGGCCCTCTTTACGGAGAAGACTGGCTGGGCAGGACAGTCCCTGGGGTCTCCTCTCGATCTGGGGGAACCTGCCTCTGCAAGAGAGGACCTTCAGGCAGGGGCCCGTTTGTTTCAGGGACCTGGCTCTCTCTGGTCCTCTGGGACCTAATTTATCTCCTCAGTTTCTTCACTCTGCCTCTCGTTCCTCTCGTGTCAGAGAAGGCTCAGGTTGCCTCCATGGAAAAATAGGTGCATAGATGAGTAGCCTTCCCAGCCCAGGCCGTTGCTTCACACAGCCTTCCTTCACGGCTCGTCTCCATCTTTTCTTTGCTCATCAGGCCCCCATGCCCTGCGTCCTCCAGTACACCCCAAAACCACACTCACAGGGCTTGGTCACCCAACCACACACTCAGAGGCTGCTTGGCCTCCATTGCCTCTGACCTCACTGCACCCCTCCGAGGCCCCCTCTGTGTGGCGACACTCTGCTGCACCCCCTCCCACCCGAGATTTCTCTTTCGCTTTCATTTCTGGGTCCTTTTTCTCTCCCTTCCCCCTGAATAGAGATGTTCCCCAAGGTTCTGGCCCTGTTGCCCTCTCTTGGAATTCTCTTCTGGAGTGATCTGCTCTGTTCCAGTAACTTCTCACAAAACTCACAGTAACTTCTCATTTGAAAAAAGAGGTGATCTGGCCGGGCATGGTGGCTCACACCTATAATCTCAGCACTCTGGGAGGTCAAGGCAGGAGGATTATTTGAGGTCAGGAGTCCGAGACTAGCCTGAGCAAGAACGACACCCCGTCTCTACTAAAAATAGAAAAACTTAGCCAGGCGTAGTGGCACGTACCTGTAGTCCCAGCTACTTGGGAGGCTGAGGCAGGAGGATCGCTTAAGCTCAGGAGTTTGAGGTTGCTGTGAGCTAGGCTGCTGCCACGGCACTCTAGCCACTCTAGCTCTGTCTCAAAAAAAAAAAAAAAAAGAAAAAGAAAAAGAAAAAAGAGATGATCTTTTTCATGAGGTCCCACACTGTTTATAATTATCTTTAGTAAATCACCACATGATACCTCAAACTCACTGTCTTCCATACCAAACTCCTTAATAACCACTTTCTTTCCTTTTATACTTTATTCTAAAAAAGTCTCTCCATCTCTCCTTCACTCTCTCAAACACACACACACACACACACACACACACACACACACACACGCCTTCTGTGCCATGAGTTTGCTCCTGGGTGTGCAGGCCAGAGACTATGGGAAACTCGTTCAGTCCCTGTGCCTCACCAGCCTCCCTCCATGGGTGACCCATCCTTGCTGATTGTAACTCAGATACACCTCTTGGTTCTGAAGCCTCTGGACCATTCCATCCACCTGGCTGCTGGCCTGCCTCCGTTGTGGTCTTACAGCTCACCCCAGGCCCCGTGATCTTCCTGAAGCTCCGATGTGGTCATGTCACTCTCTGTGCAGGGACCAGAGGGTCCTCGCTGACTGAGAGGGGAGTCTGTCTGTAGATTACACCGTGGGCAGGCACTGTACCAGCACTGGGGGGACAAAGAAGTCATGATTTCTGCCTTAGATATTTCCTCTCGCGTAGCGGGGCTGGGCTGGGGAAGGAATGACCCTTCTTCCCGGATGCCATTCCTGGTTCCTGCAATTACTTCCCCCGGTACTTTCTGTTCCCCACGCTAGGGATGCTAGTCAGCTTTGGCCTTGTATTTGTGTTGTTTGTGTAGTCACCTCCTTCCCCGTACTAGATACAGAGCTACTTGAGATCAGGGATCGTCCTGGCCTCTGGCGTGGTGCATTGTACCTTGTGGGGACTCCCTAGGAGCTGTCTGATGGAGGATTATGTTTTAAGCTCAAGGGAAGCAGATTTTGTAGGACTTCTCTTGGTGTGCATAGACACAAACTCACACTTGTCCAGTTGTGACACCAGCAATTCTCAGATGTCTGCATTGTTTTTCTTTCCAAACCAGTGCTTAGAAAGAGCCATGAAGTTTGCCTTTGAGGAGTTCCACCTCTGGTACCAGTTTGCTCTGTCACTGATGGCTGCTGGAAAAGTGAGTTGCTCTTTGTGATGTGCAGTTGTTTATGTCGATGGTTAATGTCATTGAATCTCATGGAATGATATAATACCTTGTTGAAAGGTGTCATTTCATTGAAACTGTCCTGTGGTCCTTTCTTAATAAACAATCAAATCCAATTATTTGGGAGCCAAGAAGGACCTGTCACTGGGAAGAAAAATTCTGAAATATTTGCCTTTTTCTAGCCCTTGTGACTTCTTCATGTGAAGTGCACATGGCTGAAAGTAGAGCTAGTTCTTCACACTGACCCTTCACTCATTTGAGAGGGTAAACCTGTTCCCGGAAGGGGAAATGTTTTGGTTCTCTTTAGCAACGTGTGTATATGCTGTTGGTCGAAAGTGTGGGCTGGGGATTGAAGTTTGGTGCCGCCCTCAGAGCTGAGCAACACGGGGCAAGTCACTTAGTATCGCAGTTTCCTCTTCAGTAAAATGGAGCAATAATAGTACCTACTTCCTAGAATTCTTACCAGGTAAATGAGATAAGGTGTTTAGAATAGCACCCCATCACTATGTACACACTCAGTGAAGGTAGTAGCTATTATTTTTCTTATTAATTTGGCTATTTAGTGAATTTGTCATTTAGTGAATGAAGTCTGAGATACAAGATTATTTGACCTAAGTAAATTCAGAAACTTGGTATGATGTGCTTTAAATTGCATATTTTATTTTCCATAATAACGTAAACTTCCACTGTCTGTATTTTTTTCTTATTTTTCCAATAGCTACACAAGCAGGGAGCAAAACTGAGGTGATGCCAGAGAAGCATTCCTGCTTGTTTTTAACCTCAGCTTTTCCCCTGTCACCCAGGAGCCCCCCACTCTGGTTATCACTGGCCCCAGGCGCCTGCCTGGTCGGGCTCAAATTGGAAAACCGCATTAAGAGGGCATCCTGACCAAAAGCCCCTCTGGAAAAACTTTAGTATTTGGTTCTGTCAAAAATTTTGAGTTTCACAGAAATAATCTCCTCTTGCCAAGTCTGCCCGTGCCGTGAAGGTGCTGAAAGAGTGTATCCGTCTGAAGCCCGACGACGCCACCATTCCTCTCCTTGCTGCCAAGCTGTGCATGGGCTCCCTTCACTGGGTGAGTAGGGGTGCCACCTCCGCCCCCCATCAGGGAACTCCAGGGCAGAGCTGCCAACCTTTTTCAGGTTGAGGCATAGAGAGAAAATGATAGTAATTCATCAGCTACACAAAGACAAGGCTGTTTAGAGCCCCAGACCCTGGGCCTGGGCCCCTGGCCTCCTCAGGCCTCCCCTGTGCACCCCAAGGAAGGAGGAGAACCAGTACGTTCCCTGGGTACTCCGGG